CGTCGGATATTAGTATTTTTACGTAAAACATTACCTAACTTCATCGTGTAAAATTCGGCGTGTGTGGCTGGAGAATATCGAAGGACAAAGCTAGCTAGCTCCCCGTTAAGCGAATCGTGCCTACATCAAGTCGTAATTAACTCGCTCATCGTGAACTCTCGATAAGATAGCAAGAAAGAAGACTTTATATTGCTTGTAAGTTTGTAAAATTTTTGTACATAAATCATTGTGTATAATAACTATTTGTTATTGTTGTTGTTTATATACTAAAAAATTTGTATTAAAAAAGAAAACTGTGTGTATCAATCTTGTTGGCAAATATCATAAATTGGATACATATCAGCATATTTAACTACTAACTTTAAATTATCATTTAGCTCTGTTTTAGACCATTCGAAATTGTAATACGTAACAATTTAAATTATAATTTAACTCAGTTTTAGGCTATTAGAAATTTTAATACGTAATATGTTTTCACAAATAGAAATTTAAGTGGATTTTTGGAAAGACAAACAAGTGTAATAACTTTTTGTAATCAGTCAAGACGTTCTTACAATAGTAAGTACTATGGTAGAAGTTTGTGAAAATGGAGTTGGTTTGTTTCAAGGACATAATTGGGAAATATAAAACGGCTTCCCATGAAATTAATTACAAATTAGAAGATGGAGAACTAAGTATGAACTATAATACTTTGCCAGAACTAATAGTTTATTTATCAAGAAATCTAGAAATGTCACTTACATTATTACTGTAAATACAGAAAGTAAAATATATAATTTATTGTAGAAAATGAATGCGAAAAAGCAGTTGCGAAGTTTGAACGTAAACATATTGAGTCACAACTTTGGAGCTCATTTTAGTTTATATTTTAAATATCTGTTCTAAAAAATACATCTGGTACAGCTCTCAAAAACATGTGCCAGTTTAGAGTGATTTAAAAAAATAGTAAATCCAATGTTACTCACAAACTGTACTTCACTGTATTTTTTCCTAAACACATTATCATTTCTTATTTAAAACCCTTTCTTCTTACAAGTGTGGGAAAAATTATGTAGCTTTGTGAATGTGAAAATAAAATTTCTATGAATCGCTAACTGCTCAAGTTATAAAGTCAATGTTGGAAATGAAGTATGGTAGTGTGTTGGTTGTAAGTAATTATAATATAAGTGATAATAAAACCTTGAAAATATATATTTAAACTGAAAAGTATGATTACTTTATTCATCAATAAAATTCAGAAATCAAGATATTCACAGCGAACAATTTGAAGAAGTAATTGTGAATTGTTAATGTGTAAACACAATGTACAACGAACACATTGTAATTAAGATTTTTTAACTTATTGCTTCATACATTAAATGTAAGTATGAATAACTATAGTGCACAGGTTGCTTAAAATTAGAATAAGTTGGTAAAATAATTGTAATAACTTAAGAACAATTGACCTTTTAGTTGGAATGAAAGAAAAAATCAGAAACTAAGTAGGTACTATGAACATTTAAATTAAAAATAGCATCAAATCATTATTAAAAAAAATTAGAACATGGTCTACGAAAAAAGGCATGCTATCATATTAATAGTGAACGTACAAATTATAGCGTAAAAGGTCAGCATTGAAAGCAATACAGAATAAAACATATCTGATTAGGAATGTTTGCCTTGAGGATTATGTGAAACTCAATGTATTAAAAGAAAAAAGAGATTTAAGAGAAATATTTTCAATGCTCTTATTTATAGATTGTAAATTAGTAGAAACTTTAAGACTTTATATATTTATTTACCTTCAAAACTTATTTGTCAAATAATAAAAAAAGCAGAATTTTTGTCTAACAGCTTTGCATGTTTCTACCTCAAACTACCAATGAAAGTAATAGAATCAGCCATAAAATATGTTTAAAGGCTGTAGTGCTCTCAGGATATTTTAGTGGACTGCTGTACTTTAATGTACGATTGTTAGATAACAAAACAACTGACCAACTCGTTAATTCACAACGAAGTCACAATTTCATGTTCATGCTTGAGTGTTAATCTCAGAGAACATAATTAACATAATGATAATGTAGATAAGGAAAATATAGAAGAAAGTGATAAAAAAGTACAATTAAATAACATCATTATGCAGTAATTTCGATTGCCTAGGTAAATTATTCAACTAGGAATAATTTAACACTTTTCTGTGTGAAATTTGCTTTTTTATAAATCATACTAAATTATAACATTCAGGATAAATGGCTTTTGTCTGAATTCTTTCTTTTTTTTAAGTTAGTTAATTGCCTTTCGTTGTGAGCAGGCTATGAATATTGTTAATTACTTATCCTACCTACATTTCAGAACTGTTTATTGATTCTTCACGGTTTTTCAGTTTATGTTGTATTGTTATTCAGTGATTGTTGTTATACGTGTTTCTGCTATGATAGGTTGCACAAGGCTGCAAAGCTTGGGACGGTTTTATTTGGTATGAGTAATGGAGTAATTAATAATGTAAGAGGTGCATATAACTTGCTTAGAAAAGTTCAGACACCAGTATTCTAGGTTTCATTAAAAGAAAAACATTAGAATGCGACTTATGGTTTACCTTTGGGAATGACTGTCTTTGCTGAAAATTGAAGCTTCGAATTTCTATATCTTTGAACAACAGTCTATCTTACGTCAGCTAGAAACAACCATAAGAAAGTAAATTAGGTTTCGGGGGATTGCGTGTTTAACCTAATGAAAAAAACATACTTTCAGCTCGATAACTAGAAAGAATGAATGAAAAAAATTGACTTTTACTCTGCAGATTATTACATAATAAAAAATCATTTCATTGTGTTTTATGTGGATTTACAATTCTTAGCAAGGGGTGTTGGGCAAGAAACAGGATTTTATTGACCATCTTAGACTACACACGTATAAAAATCGTGTTAAGAATGTAGGCAATGTGTCTTCACCTTTTAGTATGGTCGCTGTTAAGCACAATACATTTCCTTATTTGCACTGTGACGATAATAATAGTCCATTAAATTTCAGGTGTAGAACCATGGATCGAAATCAGTACAGCAAATTTAAAAATAATGGTTACATGTGAGAGGGCGAATGAATTATGTTTCATTAAGTATTACAAATTGTTATTCAAATTCGATGACGAGGAACCCACTTTGAGACTAATAATGGCTGGAGACGGCTTAAATGGGTAATGAAGAAAAACTTTAATATAAGTTTAACATGACAGCAAATGTACAACGTTTCGACTAAGGTTTTTCTTAATTAAAAACTTCTTCTTACGTGTTAAAATTGTCGTATCATTTATTAATT